TTTTGCTTTTTTGTAACATATTTTTTACAATGTTAATAATGTTAACGACACTTTAAAACTATATAGGCATATTCCAAACTGTTCAAAATATATCCGAAAATTTTTTCAAGCCAATCGGATAAGTGCATTTTAAATGGTAGCATCTCAAAAAGTAGAAAGGGTCAAATTGACCCAAATTGTTCTTCTTGATTGAAAAAATAGGTGTGTTCCCCGAGGGTTAATAAACGGATTTTAATATATACACTCCAACAACAGTGTTACTGCTTCAATAGCCAAAATTCATTATTATCTAATTTTAAAATTTTGCGAAAAATCCGGCATCCCGTATGTGATTTTAAGAATTGAGTTTTCAATTAAAAAAACACTCACTTGTAAAAATTTACAAATTGAATTTTTTACATGTGTATGTATATATATATACACACGTACAGTTTCTACTCAAAACATCATGAGAACGGCGCTCGTATGGCCGTATATATATCCTATTATAAAAAAATATTTTATTCACAAAATTCAAATCCTTTGTGTGACAGTACGCGTGTACGTAAGGCTGTGTTCTAAGATATATATTGTATTTTAATTAACGCACACGTCATATCTGAGAGATGCAAAGGGCGGAATGTTCTTCCTTATCTTTAGCAGCCTCCCACGTTAAAACGAAGAGCTTCCGCTTCGTCAGCTTCGATCGAATCGTCAATTGACGAATATCGGAGAGACGGTTATCGATACACGCGATATTGATAAATTACGCCGTAGTAAATTATCGTCGGACTGCGTTCGCAAACTTTTAATTAGCGAAAAATAATCAATTTTATCAAAAAAAATCTAAATTTTCTCGCACAAAAATCAGAATCGCGCTTTTCACGCTCGAAAGAGCACCGACTGTTTTTTTTTTTTTTTATCAGACACACTCGAACGAAATTTTCAAGAATGGATGACGACGGTATTGTGGATAGAAGTTTCTGAAAGGAAGCGTCGAACAAGAGAGCCGCGCGTTCTATCAGCTGATCAATCGGCTGAGAGAGCAACACACAGCAAGAGAAGAAGAGAGTTGCGGTCGTTCGTTACACGTGAAAAGATAGGATAAGAATAGACTCAAGTTGACGTGAATTCCCCCTGTTGGAGAGAGAAAAGAATTGCGTATATACACGCGAATTGATAGATACGTAGCGCACAGTTCCGTTCGGATGTACCGCGTTAAGCGAAACACAGCCAGGCGTTTCTTCTCCAGTCCTCTCTGATCGATACACGGGGGTTCTCTCTCCCCCCCCCTTCTCTTACGCAATTTCAATATATCATTCATTCAAGAAGTTCGTTTATATTCAACGTATACGTCTATATATATATATAATTTGTAGTTAGTAAAATATTCCCTTTCACAATTTCCACAAGTTTTTTTCTTTCATAATATTTCCGCGTATCGCAATACTTCATTAAGAGTTAAATTAAATGATCGCGTTGCGATCCGCAAACACAATTGATTGAATTATTAATTCATCGATTTGCAATTGTGATAGCGAAGTTAAAAAAAAAAAAAAATTAGCTCTATACAACGGAGATTCCTGGTGTCTCTCACAAGGTGACTCTCCCGAGTTAAGACTCCATCGATTCTTAAGTAAGTTCTTCATTACCGTACAACTCGCGCATGATCACACACATGTAAAGAATAATAAATCTTATAACACGCGTGTCAAGCGCGACTTTTGCCGTAAAGCGAAGAACTCGAGCGAAAGAAAACTTGATTACGACGACTTTCAAGTCACAAGAGGGAAAACTTTTGCCGCGTTTAAAAAGCTATTTTCGTCGTTCGCGTCACAATTTGCAAATAAAAATTGAATTAATAATATCGACGACTCGGATCAGTTGCAACGTGAAAACTGCACTTCGCTTTGTATTATTTAATATTATGAGAGAGGTCATTTTTTTTATAAACGAAAAATATTCACTTTGTAAATTAATTCAGAACGCAGCGCTCATTAACTTCGTGAAGTATATTACAATATTCAAATATAGAAATGCCGGATATTAAATGGAGATTATTGATTTATGTTGTGCGTTTTCATTGAGGAGAACAAAAAAAAAAAAAAGAAACAGTGAAAAAACGAGAAATAACAAAAGTACACGAAGTAAAACGAAGTCGACTCTTCCGGAGAAAGAGGTGCGTGGAAAATTTGTTTTACGGCGCGACACAAAGCTGATACGAATGAGAAATAAAGTCGCAGATATATTGCCGGTTTATCGGATCCACATAGCGTACGATATATATATATATATATTAAAAGAGATCATATCTCCCGTCCGGTTTCATTGCCGTAAATGTTATCCTATTGAAAAAAAATACGTTTCTCTTATATACAGGGTGTCCCAGAATTGCCGTACAAAAGAGAAGGAGTAAAACTGAGTCGAAAAGTCCTGAACTATTTTTTTCTATTATTTATAATAAAGGAGTAATTATTGAGTAAATCAGGCCAATCAGCGCAGATCTTTAGCCAGGCGCACGTCAGTGAGCGCTCACACACACCAGGCGCGCGGCTCACCTAAAGATCTGCGCTGATTGGCCTGATTTACTCAACAATCACTCCTTTATTATAAATAATAGAAAAAAATAGTTCAGGACTTTTCGACTCAGTTTTACTCCTTCTACCTGCCTACGAGAGATAGCACGGCAATTCTGGGACACCCTGTATATTCACGATTTTGTTCCATAAATTGTCAAACAGTAACGTTTAACTCGCTGGAAAAAAAAATAAATTTCGATTGTTTCGCAATCGCATATTTGAGCGAATTTTTATATAAATTTTTAGTTTCATATGTAACTTGTAAATTAATTAAATAAATTTATCGGAAAAAAAAAAAGAAAACTCTCTCGGCGAGATATTTTAAAGAGCGTTCCGAGAGATGGATGATTTAAATGGCGTTCGACAGGTTAGACGGACGATCGTTACAACGGTTTTTCGAACGAGGTACGGACGAGGTGGGGGAGGGGGGAGAAAGCCATCCGGATTATTTCAGACCGAACGGATGAGTCGCAGACTTCACCGATGACGACGAGTCATACGCGTGACGTAAACGTGGAGGTTGCATTTACGTTGCCGCTCGTTGCAATCGGCTCGTTAGCGAGGGTGCCACGTCGATGATCGTACGACAAACGGGTGATCGTAAAGTTTGCGCACAGAGTCACGTTTACAGAGACATACCTGTATATATTATGCTCTTTTACTCGATTTTTCTCATTATAATCTGACTGTCTTGTTAGTGTTGCGTCAATGTGTGTTTTTAAAATACGTTTGTATTTTTGCGGATTGTTTTTGAGTTGCGATTATTAAAATGCGCGATATTAATGTGATATCGCGCAATAATAATAATAATAATAATAAAAATAAAATATTGGCAATATATATATATCAATATATTCTAATTTAAACGATAAATCAACGCAAAGCGGTGATAAATTTTTCTTCTTAAATTGCGTAAAAATTCATCTTATCGACGAAACGCTTATCGATAAAACGTCTGATAAGCGCCTTATGTTTAATGATAAGACGCCCCGATAATGATATATACCGATACGTATGTAATATCTACCTCCTTTTCGCTCGGAATACCCTTCTGCAAAATGTCCGACAACGGCCTCGTGGTGACCGCGTTGTTCTGCTGTTGCTGCTGTTGACGCTGTTCCTTCTTCGTAACGATCGGTCGGATGAGCGCGCGAGTTTGCGGCATCCTTGATTGCGCTCTCATCTCCGTTTCCTGTCCCCGTCGCGTGTCCGACGCAGTTCTGGACAACTTGACGGCGGGTTTTTTCGGCGCGATGCAGGCATTTCCGGTAGAATTCCGCGTCGCGTCTCCCCGATGCAACGGCGAGGCCCTTTTTTTTTTTTTTT